ACGGGCAAGAACCTCCTGAGCCAGATCGTGGCCGAGCACCTGCACCGCGCCGGGCTGCGCAGCAAGTTCGTGCACCTCTTCCTGGCCACGCTGCACTTCCCCCACCAGCACCTCGTCAAGCTCTACCAGGTAAAACGGGGCGGCGGGGGACACGCTGTTTTTGGGGGGGGACCATCCCCGGGTACCTCAGCTTCTGGCCCCACTTCCCGCGTTTGCAAAGCCGAGGTGGAGGCCGAGATGGTTCCTCCCGTCTTGGGAAAGCGAAAGAGCCCCGAGACGCTGGGGAATCAAAAGCGAGAGTGGGTTTCCCTGCTTTGCTGGTGCAAGAAGAAACCCCACCGCAGGCAAAGCAGCGGGAGCGAAACCGCTGCTCTGCTCCCAGAAACACCTCTGATCTCCGCGTTGTGGTGTCTCGCATCTTGGTAAGTTGGCATTTTGTGTGAAGGAAGAAACATTGTCTTAAAAAAAAAGTCTTTCTCGTCTCCAAGACTTCTGTCTTCATCAATTTTCATGCCTTATCCATTCCCCAAGGAGAAAGAGTGGGCAAGATTTGTGAGCAAGGAAGAGAATTTATGGGTAAACTCTGTGCCATGAGGTAAAGGGACCTGTGGGGGGAAAAATACAACCTGGGAGTGTGTGACATCAGTCTCAAATGAATCCTTAGGGTCTGTTAAGTACAAACCTCCTGCAGTAAATACACTGAAAAACTCTTGTTTCTTGTGGTTCTTGACCTCTTTTTTTTTTCTTTTTTTTCTTTTTTTTTCCCTAGGAGCAACTGCAGAAATGGATCCAGGGCAATGTCAGTGCCTGTCCCCACTCTGTGTTCATTTTTGATGAGATGGACAAATTGCACCCAGGCCTCATTGATGCCATCAAGCCATTTTTAGATTATTACGAGCAGGTTAATGGGGTGTCTTACAGCAAAGCTATCTTCATCTTCCTCAGGTCTGTAGCACCTTTTCCAACTGTTTCAAGGTACTGAAATAAATCTGTGTGTAAATGATGACAAGGATGCTCCTGTAGGGCCTGAGATGGGTCTGGAGTGCAGCTCCTGTGAGAGTTCAGGTTTTTGGAAAGTTCCCTGGGATGGCTGCACTGATGGCAATTCACAAGAACTGGAGACTTGCCATAAGCTTTGGGTTAAGGGTTTCTGTTTTGGTGACCTGACTTCATGTAGATGAAGCATGTAGGTGGCCAGTTAAAAAGAAACTCCTGCTCGGTCTCTGTTCCCTGTTGTAACTTACTTTCTTTCACAAAAGCAATGCAGGTGCAAATTTAATTAATAAAGTGGCTCTTGACTTCTGGAGGAGTGGGAGGCAGAGGGAGGAGATTCAGCTGAAAGACCTGGAGCAAGTGCTTTCTGTAGGAGTCTTCAATAACAAGAATAGTAAGTCAATTTTCCCTGAAAATGTCAAAATCCTCAACCTCCTAAATGCAGGCTTCATCTTTGCAATCTGTATCTCAAGCTGCCTTGTGTTTGCTCTGCTTCCTGTGTCCCCACCTTGGTATAACTGTGCCCTGGCCCCCTCTCCTCAGTCCCTTTGCTCCAGGGCCACGTCCCCACAGGAACGTTCTTGGTGCAGACACCTGAACGGTAACGGTGGCCACTAACCCATCTAGCTGACTGGCACTCCTTGCTTCCTTGGGGAGTGACTGGGATAACCCACTCCAGGGATTCCGTGTCCTGCAGATCCTACCTTACATGGGCCTGATCCTAGAGAAGCTCCTTCCTATAGATAATATATTGTTTTTCTTTTTCCCCCTTCCAGGTGGTCTGTGGCACAGCAGCCTCATTGACAGGAACCTCATTGACTACTTTGTTCCCTTCCTGCCCCTGGAGCACAAGCACGTCAAGATGTGCATCAGGGCTGAAATGCTGTCCCGGGGCCATCCTGTCAACGAGAAGGTGGTTGAAGAGGTCATAGAGGAGATGACTTTCTTCCCGAAAGAGGAGAAAATCTACTCTGATAAAGGCTGCAAGACTGTGCAGGCCAAGCTGAGTTTTCACTGGGACGCTGTGATGAGCGATGCAAAGGCTGAGAGCTGATCGGCCCTCACCTCTCCAAAGCATTTTCAGGACTTTTTGAAGTGTGTACATTTGCATTTAGGCTTTTTACTGCTGCAAGGAGTATGATGAAAATCCCCAAGGAGCCAGGTGGGCCCTTTATTTTATTTTATTTTATTTTCAACTTGAAAGCCCCCTGCTCATCTCTAAACTGGCAGGTATCCGAATGTTGCCTTTCCCCCCTCCCTTCCCTCACAGAGTTTCTGAGCAGAGTATATATAACGGGATACAACCTCTCCTCTTTATCCTCCTAAGTGCCGGGATTATTAAATCCTTCATTTCCCTTCCACAGAAAGTCTAGACTGGAGCAAAGGAAACAAAGGAATTCTTCCAGGCAGCAATATACTCCCTTCCTTGTACAGGGAGGGTTTCATTCATGGGCCAGTGAATTCAAAGGTGGTGGGATGGTTTTAGACCTGCAATAGCATCTGCAAGGGTAAATCCCTTATGTATCACCAGTAAGAAGTTGGCATCTGAAAAGATTCCTGCCTCTTTAGAACAGTTAGATGCGATTGTGGCTCATCCAGGCTCATCACTATTCAGGGCCAGAGGGGCAGAATGACAGGGGGTGTCTGACTGGCATCACGTCCTGTCCTCAGCGCTGCAGGAAGCCACCATGAGCTCAGGGATGTCTGTTACTGAACTGCAGAAAAGGGGAGAATGTTCCTGTTTGCCCCCTGCTCCTTTTGGAATACAAGAATTTGTGATCTTTGTATATTTTTCTACCTAAGGGGGCCAAGTGCATTTGTGGGGTAACTCAAGGGTGCCCAAGGGATTGGACTGTTAAAACACACTAGGCCAGTCTCCTCTTTGGCAGGAAATCCCTGATCTTTAACAGTCCATCCCAGCTGCACCCAACAGGCCAGGAAGGGGAATCCTGCTCTTGCCTTGCTGGAGGACACTTGCATTGCAGAGGTCACTTTTTTTTATAGATTTTTTTTTTTTTTCTTAAGTGTAAGCAATAGAAATGCAGAGCCCCTCCTAAACTATCATAGAGGAGTATGGGAATCTGGATCACAACACTCCCATACCTCACCGAATAGGTATTTTTAAAGTAGCTTTTAAAAGGAGAGCAGTGTGGCAAGGTGAGTAACACAGATTGCCCAAGGGCTAAAATGACACCAGAATTTGGAACTTTAGGAAGCTAGGGAAAAAATAAACTCCACCCCTTTGCAAGGTACCCACTTAGGATGTGGCAACCTTTAACTCCTTTATCATCCATATTTTTTTTGATCAAATAGCTTAGTGCAAGATAAAGTGCCTCTCTCATAGAGGTGGATGGTAACGTGTCTTAAACGGATCTAAGGGAGGGGACTCGTGTGCTGCAGCTTCAACTCCAGCTTTAAGGAGATGCTGAACTTAGTGGTGGGAGCTCTACTACCTTAATGCAAACTGCAGCTGAGAGCTTAACGCTTAGGTTAGCCTTGAAGTCAAGTGTCAGCTTCCTTTTACAGCCTCCTGTGGAGTTTGTCAGATATTGGCAAACTCTTCAGAGTGAGGCAACCTCCTGAGCTAACTGGCTCCTAACCTTGGGCTGTTGGACTGCTGCTTTTGCTGTGTAGTGTTTTGCCTACTAAGGGCTTAGGGGTGTAAATACTGCAACTAGTTTCAGTTACTCTAAATGCAAAATATTTGTGCAATCTAAAAACACTAAATATTACTACTGTCTTGCAGTTGGAATAAACCTTGGCACTCTTCTCTCTTGCTCGAGTCATTGACAGCTAAACAGAACTTTGTGCAATTTCCAGGCAGCTAGCTGGCAGCTTTCTGTTAAGCTTCCTTTATTTTAAAAAAACTTGCTCAGAAGAATAGATAGGCAAGCAGACTAAAAGCTGCCAAGTCACCCAAGACCGCAATAATTTCAGCAGTTAAGTAAATAAGCACCTAGGAAGAAGCCTTTATCACTGGGTGTTCTGCTTTGTTACGAGCCCTGTGCCAGCTGCTGCCAGCCCAATAAGCCTCACGGGGCTTGTTTAACCATTTCTCTGCTTAGAGAAGAAAGTTAACATTCAAGTCTGCTCCTTTCCTTGTATCTACTGGGGAATTCCACCCTATCCCCAAGGGCTGGAGCACCTACAGCCTCCCTAGTACTGAAAATGACCCAGTGTGTAACTCACAGCCCTACTCAAGTCAGGTTACAGCTCCTGCTGTTGCAGACCAAGCACAAAGAAATTCCTTAAGGGGGGTGTTTCAGAACCAGAAGGGCTTTCTGCACCAGGACTTTTTTTAATTAAAGCAGTCATTGCTTGCAGTGGACTTTGGCAAAAACACACAAAATCCAGGCTCGGTAACAGCTCCGCTACTCTCACCCAGCCACTGACCTGGTCTTCCAGAGCTTGGACCTTTTCCCCTCTTCAACATTTTCCCTGGAGCAGTGTGCTCCAAATTCAAACAAAATGTTAAAGAGTAACAGCCCTAGTTACCCCGTCACAGCAAGGAGACAGGATCTGTTTGGAAATCACACAGTCTAAAGAGGAGAACGAAACATTGGAGTGATTTTCAGCAAACCTCTTCCTTTCACCCAGCTGGTGGAAATTCTCCTAGCCAGCTCTGCTCTTTTCAGGAACAGAAATACTCAGCAGAGAGGAGGCCTTCAGTCTGTAGTCTGTGACCTTCACTCCTACAGCCCCTGGACAACACTCTCTAGTATTATCTAGTAATTACACTGCAGTGGCAGCTAAAGGCAGAACTAAGAACGTATCTAACGCTGGCAGAGCCACAGTCCTGCCCTGCCGAGCTGCCCTTTGGTGACAAATTACCAGGCAGCAGTAAAAGTTTATTGCTTTCACGTCTGCATTTTTCCATCACCAGTTAGAGCTAGTCATTCACTACAATCAGCATGTCAAAGAAACCATCAAACAACCTGTTCAAAGCACCCCTTTGCTGACAAATACGAGGAGTGATAAGTTAATTGGCACGTTAGACACTTTGGAGCAGAACGGGACACTTGCCCATGGTACTGGCCTGCTTTGCTCCTGCAGAGAATAATTCAAGATCCTGCTACCAGAACGGAGAGCAGCTTGAATGCAGACTGCAGTATTTCCAGGTATTTGGACAGTGGTATCACAGTGGAAGGAAGCAACAACAAGCAGGGTTTTATCTACCCTTGAGAAGGCAAATTCATTTTTATGACACTGCTCAGATGAGCACATCTCAGACTACTTTGCAAAAAGCACACGGATGTAGTAGTAGCAATGCCCAAGAAGTGCAGCTTCCACTACAAACTCCACGTTCTCCCTTTCACCCCATAACACAGACATCTCCCCGTATCTACCCCCTTTGCATCCAAAAAGGGAAAGATCTGCACTCAAGCACAGCTGAAAGCTTCAGCCAGAAAGGTGGTCTGCTCGTCCACAGCAAGGGGCAAGATTTTAAAGTGAATTTTGCACAACACTCAAGGCACATAAACACAGAAAGGTAGTTAAGAAACACTTCTAGTGAGAAATGTTTATTTTGAATAGAAACTGGAATGAAAAAAGTCTCAGCAGTGCTCGCATTTAGAAACAAGTCCGACAGACTGTTATAAGTTATTTGACACATTTCACAATTTTTCCAAGTGCCCGTGGACCTGTCTTCGTGCCTGTCTCAAAGGCACCCAGCGGCGCCAGGACGGGATAAAGGGGCCACCCTGCAAGCTAACCTGTTAGTTGCACTTTTGGAGGAGAAAGCTCTTTTCCATTCCCTGGTGTGAGGTTCACCGCGCACGCGTCTCCCATCACGTTACAGCCATTCCATGAAACCGGCTGAGCAGTCAGGACACTTTTTTTTCCTTCCTACCTGAGAAAATCATTCCTAGGGGAGCACACGGAGGGCAATTTCACCCATAAGATAATAACCAAAATAGCAACCAACTCAAAGTGCTAGTCACGGACTTTGACTTGCTTCCTCTTACTATTTTGTCTTATTAAAGCCCTCCCTTTCGAGCAGCGAAGCTGTTCAAGGAGAAAATACACACACCCCACCTCTGAAACGTGGTTATCAGAATATTCCCACACAAGCCCAGCAAAGCCCTTCCAAAACACAGCGACTCTGATTAAGTTGCTTAAATATTGTCTACAGATCCCACAAATCAAACCAAAACCCAATTAAAATTAGGTCATAATCTCAGTCCTACTGTTTGTGCAAATGATCTGCCAACAGTTCTGGCAATCGACACACAAGATGAGGCAAGTTTGGGCACAGATAGAGAAAAAGTCTTCACCTTCATAAAAGTTTTTCTTACCTTGACAGCACAAGACCAAAGGGAGCCGTGACTACTGACAAAATAAAAATGCAGATGCACTATCACTTATTTACACACCAGTTAAAAATAATGTTTTTTTTTTAAAAAAAAAGTGCTTAAAAATGAAATGTCCCGGTTTCTCCACTTTGTGATTAAGTTAATTTCCTTCTTTGAAGATTGCAGCAATAAGGTATCAGAAGTCATAGTAATAATCCAGTTTGGCATACACAGTTTTACACCCTTTGTCTGAATAAATTCTCTCTTCTCTGGGGAAGTAGGTCATCTCATCGGCTATTCTGCTCAAAATGTCTTCGTCCACAGCGTAGCCACGTGATTCCACCTCAACCCTGACACACATTTTCACATGTTTGTATTCCAGAGGCAGGAAGGGAACAAAGTAGTCGATGAGGTTTCTGTCAATCAAGGTGCTGTGCCAAAAACCACCTGCAAAGAGGGAGGGATGGGAGGGTTGTTAGTTCTCTAGTCAAACAGTTCTTTGGGCTACAAGGGAGCAGTATCACATCCTCCTACTAACCATAGTAAGAGTTCACTTGTAAATTAGAGCCCTGAGACAGGCAAGGAAACTCAAATACAAGCCCGTTTTCATAATTCTTTGTGCATAAGGTCCAGGGTAGACTCCCAGACGTGATTTTTTGGAGCTCTGTTGCATAAGTCCATTGCTTGCAGCTGCTGGTCTCTACTTTCATTTCTCTCCCCTATGGAAGCCCAGATTTTCAGTCTCCCCCACACGAGCTTGGCCTTGCTCCTTTTTTGGAGCTGGCATGCAGTCTTTTCAATAAATTAGGCAGGTTTGCATCTCCTGCTGATATTAAAGCATCATTATCGTAAAATACTTTTTCACTGGAATCCCATGCAAAAAAACCCAGGAAGCACTGGACTCCCCACAGCAGGGTCAGCAAACCCAGCTCCTAGGAGCTCCCTGAAGGCTTTCTCCAGCCCCAGCAAGGTAAGTTATGCAGCTGGGCTGGCATCAAGGAGCCCTCTTCTTCATAATTAAATACTCTATGGCTATCAGCTAACATAAAACCCAGTCTTTGGACTAGATGCAGCGGCTCCTGAAAGCACAGAAGCAGCACTCAAAAAGCAGCAATTACACACATTACCCTTGTGCAGTACTGGAAATAGCTGGGGAGCTGTCACTCCACACAGGGATTTACGACCTCAAAAATAATCAAAGTTGTACTCACTATTCTTGTTGTTGAAGACAGACACAGACAGCGCGTTTTGTATGTCTGTGAGCTGTATATCTTCCCTCATTTTTCCTTTTCTCCAAAAATCTAGTGCCACTTCTGTTATTTTTTCAGCTCCTGCATTGCTAAGTAAAGAGAAAACAAAGATTGTTGCTGGGGGAAGTTTTGGGCCCTGATTGCACTGAACTGCAACCCTGAGAGGCCACTTCTTACCTGAGGAATATGAACATGGCTTTGCGGTACGACACTCCATTTAGCAGCTCGTAGTAGTCCAAAAAAGGTTTGATGGAGTCAATAAGTCCCGCATGCATTTTATCCATTTCATCAAATATGAAGAGTGATCTGGGACAGAGGGTCACGTTTCCCCGAATCCACGACTGCAGCTGGTCCTGGGAGGCATAAAAAAGAAGTTATTGATAAAGTTCATTTGAAATGATGGAAAATAAGTCTTGTATTGATTGACTTTTGTACTGTTTTACTTAAGAAGCCAAAAGTGTTAAAAAACTGTGTATGTAACTACAATAAAATGTCATTCTGGTTCTGCAAAGTTAAGATTCAAACCACAAACATCAAGAAACAGGATTCAGGAAGCATGAAATCTCCTCAGCGAAGATATTCCCGTAAACACGGCAAGAAGGAAAGACTCCACAACGGGACAAGGGACGGTGCCACCAAGGAAGAGCAACACTAAGCTAAGCCCTCTCAAGCAGCTTGCCTGCTTTGGGCAGCACTTTGATCTAATTGTTTTTAGGCGTCCAAATGACAAATAATATAAACTTGTTACCCAAAGAACACCAGTGAGAAACTGCCTTTATAGAGTGAGTCACGTACATACAAACAGAATTAATCTCTCGGGACTGATTTTCAGTTATCCAGAAGTGAAGATGATTGCAAATCCTTCTTAAAGCACAATGTTGTTCTTTAAACAATAACGAAGCATTAGCCTTTCAGATTCTCTCACTTAAGTGTTAAATTTAAGATCAATAATGAAACAGGTACAGGAAGAAAAAGGCGGGAAGGGGTTGATCTGTTTGGCAGATGAACGAGCATTAAATATTTGGCCCGTTTTCAATGATTCATCACTTTCTGATTCCCTGTGTAATCAGTCCCCCAACCACACCGAGGCAGCACAGGAAGATGACGTTGGCTGCCCTGCAGATAAGAAGTGACAGTTCCTCCTACTGCCTTGGGCTGCCGTTTCCCCAAGCAATGAATTCACTTCATATCAAAGGCAGAAAAGGATCCATTTCATCTCGCAGCAGCTCAGCTGCAAGAAGGGCAGCAGGAGGCTGTAAAAGAGGAAATGGATTTCCCCTGTGCAGGAAACAGCTTTGAGGCTCTCCTGTTCCCATTTTCAACATATGGGGACTGAAGACAACACGGAATAGAGGGCGACTCAGACTCTGCTACCAGCCATCCTGGAAGCAGTCAGGAGCACAGCAGAGGCTGGTGTGAAGTGTCCTGCCCCACGGGACGCCCACCCGCTGCAGCGCTGACACATCCCACACACTGGCAGAACCACCCCAGCTGCTTTTACCTGCACCTCTCTGAAGACAAGGCTTTTCTAATCATATTTCACAGCTGGGAAACAGATACGTAGAAGAATTAAATAATGCACCCAGCGAGTGATGAAGGAGAAAAGCGCTCCTACTTCTCGGATGTCTATTTGAGGTACCTGACACACAGGACAGCTCTCAGCTGGCTCTCCAGAGCCACTGATTATTATTTTTGTGGTGCCCAGCAGCTTATCACCCACCCACCGCATCCTACCGAACACCCTTCGCTGCTACTCCAGAGTGACATCTCTAGACAAAGCATGCAGCAAGAAAGCTAACCATGACAGCGAGATGCTCAAAACATACGTAGAAAAGGGCTTTACATTCCCGGGAAATCAGTCCTGGTGCATGTCAGAATTTATCCAACTCCAAGCAGAGGGATTATAGAGCTGGCATAGGCTTCATTTCAGAGGGCAAAACAGCTTCTAGCACCGAGTTGTAAATTTATAAGTCGCCACCACAGATACTGCTATAGAACTGGGTCCCGTTGCAGGATGCGCTCCTACCTTGTACAGGTTGATGTTGTCTGCATGAGGAAAATGCAACGTGGCCACAAACTGGTGCACGTATTTACTCTTGAGGCCTCTTTTATAAATGCTTTCAGCAATGATCTTGCTGACAAAGTTTTTGCCTGTTCCTGTCCAGCCGTGCAAGGAGAGGGCCAGGGGCTTTTTGGGATTCGTGTTATTCAAGAAGCCCTTGACGGCCTTCACGATCACCTTGCTCACGAGGTGCTGTCCGAAGAGCTTCTTGTCCAGGCTGTCCTGCAGGCCTGCGTGGGGCACAGAAAACACCGTGAAAAAGAAAAATAAGAGACGAGCTCAAGTGCTGCTCGTTTCCAACGCGCTCCAGGGCGCACGCGTGAACCCGGGCCACGCCGAGCGCGGGGGCAAAGGGCTGCCCAGGCTGCAGCGCCGGTGCCAGCGGAGCCCGGCCCGGAGCACCAGGCCCCGGGCGGCCTCCTCGTCCCGGCCCCGCTCCG